TATATATATATATATATATATATATATATAATACTTAAAATACATAAACATTATTTTGAATTATTGAATCCTGAGCTTTGTGTGAATCACATCTCAAAAGTTAAAGCCTAAGAAATGAGATATTGAGAGAGACTCCGAGATAAAAAAAAATAGTATTTAAGTAAAATGTGTTGTCAAACTCAAAAATAATCTCTTATTTACAGAAGATTGGTATAATATGTGAAGTTACATGTTTGTGTTTTATTTAATGATGGTGTTACGGGATATTTTAACTATTAAACATGTATGTGCCTATAGCTCGGATAACTATTGACTCAGTCGGCAGAGCTCGATTCGTTAAGGCCTAATTGTTCATCTATGTTGAGTCTAAGTTGCGGATTGGCCTTCTTTGGACTTTAGGTCGGCATGAATTACTTGATTGGCAAGACAATCGATCGACTGATTTAATCTGACTTCGGGTCGGTAGGTAGCTCTTGTTGGTTGAGCAATGTCAATTTACCATGCAAATAGTGAATCGTTGTAGCCCGATAGGTAGCTCACTCCCCAACATGGAGAGTCGAAGAGATGACTTGACTTTTTGTGGCATGGTTACCTCTCGATCTCTGATAAGGAGCATCTGAGACATCAGTGGGATGGTTGATGGCATTGAAGAGCCGAGTCTTTCTTCGGGTGTGGTTTGTCGAATGGTTGATTGCCAATTTAGATGGGCCTTCTTATGGTGTTTGACTCGCATGTTTATCTATCATGTCTTGGTCTGTTGGGTTCAGGCTCAAACAATTTTGACGTCTTTAGTCTTGTTGGCTCTGGCTTGGATGAGAGCATCAGACTGGCTTTAGTTTTTGCCGTGGTTCAGACCACTATGTCCGATTAAATACGAAGGTATTTTGGTCTTCTGCTGGTGAGCCCCCTTATTGCTAATTTTTTTGCCTTCTAAACAGTTGGATCTTCTCAAGATTTGTGCTTGCGCATTCCCGATGTACATGAATGTTATAAAAAAATAAATTAATTTATTTTAAATTAAAACTTCTAGATGAACTATGATAACATTTGTAGGCGCAAAAAAACTCTGTTTTAAGCTGCATATGTTGTGATAATATCTATGGACTGCAGAAGTTGGAGTTGGGAGTTGCATGAATTGTGATAACTTTCGTAGGCTGTAGTAGTCGAAGTTGGGAGTTGCATAAGTAGATAACATTCGTAGGCTGCAAAGGCTAGAACTGTGAGCTGTATGAGTTGTGATAATATCTATAAGCAGCAGATGTAAGAGTTTAGATCTGCAAGAGCTGTGATAATGTCCACAGGCTACAACGGCCAAATTTGGGAGTGGTATGAGTTGTGAAGACGTTCATAGGCCGTAAAGGCTATAGTAGGAAGTTGCATAAGTTGTGATAATGTCTGTAGACCACGTAGTCTATAACAGTGAGCTGTGAGGAGAGAGCTTCAAAATTATAGAGAAAGTCACTGTCTATTGATAACGACGTTGTAAGCTGTTATTTTAGAGTGCATTGTTGCACCATTTTCAAGAGGCATCAATGCATCATATAGGAGACACATCTTTGCACTGTATACAAGGTGCATCGTTGCATCGTATGCAAAGTACATTTTTACACAATTTGCGAATTGTGTTGCTACACCGATTTTGAGGTGCATTGCTATACTGCATGCGAGTTGCGTTGTTACACCATTTTGAGGGAGTGTCATCACATTATCTCCAGGGATTTTTGCTGCACAACATATAGGATGAATCGTTACTTCGTCGAGTCCTTCATTACTTTGCAAGTTACGTCGAGATTCCATACTATATGTCGTGATTCTGCAACATATATTGTGATTCTATGATGAATTCCATAGAGACGAACAATGCGACAGTGGTGGATAGCAGGCGGTGTTTAACGGTGATCGGTTGCAGGAGCTGTTGACATTCGTTGAACCTTCGATGTAGAACACTGGACCTTTGTAGGTCTAAGTTCCTCTTCATGAATATGGTAGTCCTCTATTCATATAGTTTAGGAGAGGCCTCCTCAATCGAATAACCCAGAGAGGACTCTTGATCAAACAACATTTTGTGGACATTGGGGTACTTTAATAATGTCGAATTTGAGGGATCTTGAGCTCATTGGATTCGTCTTATGGAGACACTCGATTTGACTATAAAGGTTCTCATATTTGAAATCTGTTTGACTATTCAATTATTTACCCAAAGTTTCCAAAAATAATTTAACGAATTGATTCGGGTTTATTCTGACTTAGATCAGATCAATTCCAATGTCATTCAGTGCGCCTCATCGAGCCGGTTAGTATGACTGTAAGTTTCCTGAATTCAGAGTTCTGGATGATCTTTACCGTGAATCTAAACATTCATTTCTAAAAACTTATTTCAATATTCACGTCACATCTCAAAATTCATGTCGAATGATGAAAATTTATTGGTTGTATATCAATAATAATAATTACTTTAAACTTTAGTATATTTAAATTTAAACTTACTTTTAAAAGCATTACATATGTAAAGTGATGGTTAAGTGTTAAATTAAAATATTTAAGTTTTTCAATTAAAATTGCGACATGCTACATTTTTACTTTTAAAATGATATTAAAATAAAAATACAACATTATTGACAATTACTTTTCCAGCGTACTTCCCCTTCTTATCTCCTTCTATCCCAGCAGCAGCCAAAGAAAGACTGGGCCCATTTCAGCACCTTGCTTTTCTAATCGACCAGCATTGAAGAAAAATTTACATAAATATGACATAAATCTTATATATTTACATATGCAACACCTAAAATTTTATAATTACGTTTATGACAATTTGGTGTTAAATTTTATGCATAAAAAATACATATATTTAACATTTAGAAGTTAGTAAATATAAAAAATTTGAGCGACATATACTTAAACAAAAATGTCATCGCCATCAAAAAGAATTATGAAGCCACCGGCCTTCATTAACTCTTAATTAATTGTATCTCTTTCATATTGAATAAATAGTGAGACACCGCATACAGAGATGTATGAGATGTCCGTTCTTCACCATCGATTATCATGATCATTAAAAAAAAAAAGTTAAAAGTGAGACCCATCGAAATATATTTTTGCAGTGATATATGGTGAAGATCGGACACCGCATGCATCAGTATGAAATAAGTTTTGGAGTAGATATTATCATAAACTGTTGAATAAAGAGAAGAGCTGCTTTGACCATGAGAAAGCAAGAAATATAAAAAGACTAACCTTGCTCGGAATTCGGCGGCCATGGAAGGCTGACCCGACCGGGAAGGAGTCGTTGTAGGAGGGATCGGCATGAACGTAGACTGAATAGAAGCCATGGTGCCCCTCAAAGAACTTCTCCCACAGCGGAACGAAGGGGAGAGGTCCCCTCGTCAAGAACAAAAATGCAATCTTGGGGACTCGTTTATAAGGAAAAGAACTTGTTTTCGGTGCCATGGAAGCTCTCCATAGCAGCTCCTCGTCTGTCATGTCATGTTTGATTTCATTTGGCTCGATGTATCCTTTGAGACCGGTTTGAGCTCTCGGCGGCGGAGGCGGAGGCGGAGGGGGAGGCGGAGGTGAGAGTGGTGGTGGTGACTGGTTATGAGGGGGAAGGGTGGGGGATTGGAGTTGGGAGGGTTGGAAGGGGAAGGGGAAAGGGAAGGAATTGAGGTAGGAGGTGGAGATGATGCCGAAGGTGAGGCCGAAGCCGAAGACGAGGAAGAAAGTGAGGATCTTGGGGAGAAAGGAGATAGAGTTGAGGAAGAGTTTGGGGGATTGGAGGAGTTGGTAATGGTTGTTTTGGTTGGTTGATTGTTCTTGTTGGTGAGGCTTCATTGGATTTGGCTTGGTGTTGATGGTGTGGGAGAGAAGAGAAGAGCAGAGGAGGAGGAGAAGGGGGATGAAGAGTCTGTGCGGCTGCTCTTTGTGGGGAATTTATACTTTGTTTTATTAGCAGATCTAACATATTCGCCCCTTGCAATGCACTCAATTACTTGGATTTCTTCTTTGTTTTATTGGCAAGACGAGTGGAAGTGGTCTCATTTTGTGGGACTTATGATCCAAATTTAATGCATTTACACTGTCGATAAAAAACTTGAAATTATATAAATATATGAACGACAAGAAATAACACGAGCATTATAAAAGAAAATTATTTAAAATAAAATAAAATTGTTATTGTTATTTCTTCCATAATTACCTTCAATCGTCTCTCCCCTTCAATGAAAGTAATTTTTTTACTATGATGTTTTTATGATTCATTTTTATGTTATTTTTTGACCAAGATGTGATCGTATTTTCATATTCATGAGAGTCGGTAGATCATTAGTTTTAACAATTATCTGATACATGTACATTAGGAATGCACTAGCATGAATCGGTAGGAGATCCAATAGACTAGGAGAGAGGAAAGTGCAACTAAAGAGGGCCGATTGGCACGAGACCAAATGACTCGCTTAATTGATCGGATGCAACCCTGTCGAATTGAGACTGAAGATCGGTCGGTTGACATCAATCACAATCTTTCTCATATTCATTCACATCCTTAAAAAGAGTAGGTTAATAAATTTCAGATTGTAATACCATAGATGTAGTTCTAAGTCCTCTAAAATGCTCTCCAAATTCTGAATCATGACAATACCTAATAATACCGTTGACTACTTCAGATGTCACACATTTCCTAAGAATCTAGTCCTTATACTACAAAACCCAATAGTAGAATTTGGCCTCAGAAATGACCTTCTTTCTCTAGTAGTAGGTCAGACCATAGGAAACGATCCTTCGATTGTGCTGGTGCGCTGGTAGTTAACACGAGAGTGTTTGTATGACAGGGGCACTTCGTGAAGGCGGTGTGGGTACGCTGGCTCACTCATTCAAATTATTCGCTCCAATTTGTCCCTTTTCATTCCTAAGCAGCCCCAAACTCATAACATGCCCTAAACAAACAGAAATGCCTTCCTTACACATAATAACATAATGAAATATGCAAAATAAGTGTAAAATAGCGAGATATTCATCACATATTTCATTCGCATCGGTAACCAACCCATTAATCTTTATATTGAACAACATTCTCTTAATTCAGCTTCAAACCAAAGAAAATAAAATCAAGTTGCCCATTTACATATAAATCTATGGCATTCTTAAAGTATCCCAATAGTTGCAACCTTTATACTTAGTTGCCACATATAAATCTTTATTCAATAAATTCATCCAAAAATAAAATTTGAGATGAAATTTCATCAATCAACTCAAGAAAACATCATGCAAGTTCTAAACATTAAAAAAATGAGGAATTTACATTCACAATAAAACATTTATATATCTAAATGCATAAATATTAATGAAATATTTTTAATATGATCTAAAGATTTAAATTTTATCTAAGTAAATATTCAATTTCATTATTGGATATATAAAAAAAATATATTTGTGGTACATATTTGTAATTTTAGGAAAGACTCGTGGGAGACTCCAACTCGTGCAAGCGCGACGACCGACGACCCCCTTCACAAACGCAACGGTCTCGGTAGTGCTGCGGGCAAGTAAGCAGCCGTGACTCGGAACGTGTCCCGGTTGTTGGCTTTGACACGCTAACAGTGCGCGTATGACACATTCTTGTCTATAGCTTCCACGCGTCATCTTTTAATGGTCTATATGCTGTTTGCTGTTTTTTGACTTTTCGAGGAAAGGGCTTCGACTATCATTTATATTACGCCAAGTCAATTTGTGAGCCGTGCACTCAGATCAATGAGCTAACGAGCTAACCTCAAGTCAGACCCAACTTGGCTCAGCCCGTGAGTGAGCTGGCTCGTTTAAAAAATAATAAATAAATAAATATTTAATATATAATAAAATTAAAAAAAAAAATCTTTGAACTGTTAAAATTATTTAGAAAAAATAATATTTTATATTTTATATTAAGTGATTTATTATTAATTATCTTTAAGATATTCGTTCTTTTTGTGATCATTTCATTATAACAATAGCTTAATTAATTGTTTCGTGTTAATTGATTCGTGGTGGCAGAGTGAATGATTATCGTCTTAGCATAGTGAGGAAATCTAGCACGAACTTGTATAGAAGAAACCAGTTGCGACTCACAGAGTAGAATGTTGGCCACGTGGGTTGCATATGGTTGCCTCAGAAGCGTCGGTT